CCCCGGGGGTGCCCCCCCCCCCCCCCCCGGCCGCCGCCACTCCGCTCCGGCCCGCCCCTCTGCGTAGACCTGCGGCCCCGGGGTCACAGCGGAGCCTCCCCCCTCCAAACTTCAGTTAAACAAACCTCGTCTTATTCTAAGATTATTTCTGTTTGCGGGGCGGAGGGGGTTCTTTTATGGCCTTTGGTTCCCTTTTCCATTTCATATATTTGTGGCATATTTCTTCCCTCCCCCAAAACTTTATTATCCGTCGTGGAGCAAATAGAGACAAACTTTCGAGCGGTCCCTCCTAGCGCCGTCAGGAGAACACCCTTCCTGAGCTCGGGCAGCAGGATTTGTGCAAGCGAGAGAAAACATCCTCTTCATGAAATGCATGTCCTTATGGTGCTCTGTGCAGGTTCCTGCTCTGGTTCCTCTTTCCGGTACGGGCGAGGGCGGCAATTAGCAGTCCCAGGTCCGCCGGTTTCCTTGCTGCAGCCTCTCTTAATAATGTCAAATAAGGTCTGTTAAAGCCTGCTGCAATTTCTCTGAGAATTTTGTTTGCGCACAGAGACGAATATTCAAACTCTTCTCATTTCAATATTTGTACCAGGTTAATTAGCTCTCAGCAATCTCCAGCCAACGTAGCAGTGAGACGTAGAAGCCGGAGACGTGAATTCCAGCGTTGAGATCAGTCGAACATCTCAACAGTAAGTGCTTGCCTTTATATACATATGCATACATATGTATCTTAACAAATTCACGCTGGGTCACCCAAAAATGGTCAGCGGGGAACGAATGACCCCCCCGCCGTGACGGTGCCGGCCCCCGTGCCTCCGCAGCCCCAGCGCAGCGCCCGGGACGGGGACGGAGCCGGAGCCGGAGCGGGTTCAGGATCCGCGGTACCGGGCAGGTTTCACGGGCACCGAGCCGCCCTCGCCCGCTCCGCACGCCCGCAACGCCGACAGCGTTTTACGGTGCGAGGTGCCGCTGATGGGCGCTTGGCGTGCTTCAGCGGAGCTGTAAGTAGTTAATAAAGGGGCTGGAAACAGATCCTGTTTACTGATTGTTCCTGATTGTTGTTTTCTTGATAACAGAGCAAGCCACTGAATGACTGTTTGAGCTCAGGCGCCACAAACATAAACCTAACAGCTCCCAGCGTGCCGGCCCTGCTGGAGGATCACTCCTCACCTCCCGGGACTTGTGAAGTGCAGGCGGAGAAGGCAGCTCCCACGGAGGCAGGCACCGGGGGGGGGGCGGGGGAGGCTCGCCTGTATGACCGAGCTTTCCATATTGCACGGTATATTCCGTCATTAGCCAGGGGAAAGGGGTGTAAAATTAATCGGTGCCTTTCCCCGAGCCTCCTGCCCGAAATTAATCGGTGCCTTGCGCCGAGCCTCCTGCCCGTGCCGGAGGTCGGGGCAGGCTCTGCGCCGCTCTTCGCAGCATCCCAGACGAGAGATGCGGCTTTTACATCAGGCTGCTGTTTCGTTTGAATTTCGCTGGATTTTCTTGCCGCGGCTAAGCGCCACCAAACAAGTGTGCGGGGCTCGCCGGGGGCCGGGGAGGGAGAGCGGCGGAGGCAGGGAGGGCGCGCAGCCTCGCCGCGGCCGGCCCCGCACTCTGCGCCGGGCCCGGTCTCCCGGGACCAGCAGCACCGGGGCAGCAACCCGGCCGGGCGGCCCGGGCCGCATCCGCCCCCCCTGCGTTTTTTAGCGGGGGGGGAGAGAAGGAAGGAGGAAGGTTGCAAAACAGGATTTTTGCTGGAGTGTCTCTTTGCTTTTTTTTTTGTTTTCTTTTCTTCTGGCAGACAAAACAGGGCAATGTGTTTGTGGGAGAAAGAGAGGGCGGAAAAGTTTTC